GGAACCTTCACACCAAGAAGGCAGTAAGACCATTTGGATTCTTGCTCATTGTTGTAGAGATAGGTGTCAGTCACCTTCAACTGGCTGTTAGTGTAAGCCTTATTGCTTGAATAGTTTCCAGTATCACAATGCCCTAATCAGTTTGCTAATTTACCCTACAGATCCTGTGCTCATCTAAACAGTCTGAGAGAACCTCAAACCTATTGGGCAATTGCGGGGGATGACATGCATGCCCTCTGGGTCCCTTTACCTGATTCACTTACAGTCAGATCCTCCTGTCCCTGATCACTGACCAGATCAGAAGTTCCTATCCTTAGTGATGTAGCTTGCTCCTGGAAGAAAGAAGCTAAGCAAATTTCCACTTCCCTGATGTAGCAGTCTCTGTAGTTGAGCCTCCGGCTCATAAACTCTGAGCTGAAGCTGCTCAAACTTCAAAGATAGTTGCAGATATGTTTGCCATTGATCACAATCAGGAGTTCTCAAATGCCTGTAGCCTTGACACATCACCTGTCCTGCATTCCTTAAAGAGTTTTAGTTAATTAATAACAATTTATATATGGCTTGAAATCTTAAGAATAGAATACACCTTAACCACTTACCGGATATTCATCAAACAGCTATCTCTGTCCTTACAGTCAAGCAAGAACCAATTTCTGCAGGGCAAGAAGGGTTGCAAAGTAAAAACACCTCCCTCTTCTACTACCAAACTCTCAAGTTTACACTTGATTTCCTCAGCTGCACTTATTTGCATTTTATTATCCTTCACATAAAACTATGAGCTTTTGTTCGTGAATTTTACACATAACCAAAGAATCTCGGTTAAATTCACATCCTCTAAAGCCCTTAAATTTAAATGCTCTGTCAATTCTTGGTCTGCTCTTCCATTCAATAATTTAAAACAGATATTAGGAGAAACCAAACTTATGTGTAGTTCTCTGGTTGTAGTCTCACTAGTGATAGATGTAATGTTAGTTACTTATGTAGAACGCTAGCGAATCATTTTCTTACTTTGTTCACCTCCTGAACTTTGTCTGAACACTGAACTGAAAATCTCCAGGGAAAGATTGGGGAGTGGTACTTGCTAAATTGCTCTTGCAGAGAGCCAGCACAGGCTTGATGGGCTGAGATGTCTCCTGTACAATGTCAAATCTCAGGCTGAAGGAACAACATTTGATGCCACATATTTAACTGCAGTTCGCACAACATTTCATCTGAAGTGCTGACTAACTTCAGAATATATGCTATCTGACTTTCCAACACCAGGTCAGGTACTGCCACATGTACTATGGGGTGTACCTTACAGTATCAGAGTTTTTTAATGATACATTCAGGGGAAATGGATACCATTTAATCTCTAATACTCAAATCTACACAAAATCAGCTGTGATCATGACATTTATCACTTGCAAATTTGTACACTGTAGATCTTATTCCATTACCCAAACCATTGATCTCAAAAGTGTAGACAACACCAAATATTATGAAACATCACCAATACTACCCAGAAACCTCAAACATGCACCAAAGGTCATTGTTGAATGTCAATCATCCAATTTTGAATTTGATCCATGGATTAAAACCTTATGCAGTTGTATGAGACAGGGTCATTCTCATTCAGAAATTTGTGTATGATATCTTTCATTGGATCCATAACCTCAATCTAATATATTGTTTAAACTGTTCTTTTAGAAAAACTATGCTGGCTATCTTGAATTAAGCCCCATCTCAAAAAACATCCTTCTTTATAGTTGTAAGCAATTTCCAAAAACTGAGTAATGATTTAAGATCTGTATATTTGACAGAATGCTCTCACTATCTTTGTTAAGAAAAAAATAAGCATCACGTTAGATACTGAAACTCCAGGACATGAGCACTTGAAAGCAATAGTGATGAGATTCAGAAACCTCTTCAGCCAACTCTGTCAGATCCCAAGGATAAAAGTTGTCATGGTGCAGAGCCGTATCGAACTTGAACATTCACATATTCCTCAGGATATCCGTTAATGGTTTTAAGTTTCCTCACTACTCACTTTCAAACATAATTTCTCACCTTTAGATGTATTGTCTGAGACTATTTTCTTTGCACAAAGAGAATTGGGGAAAGAAAAAATAAATGGGTCTCTTCTAGTGATGTTGTCAAACTTGCAAACAATTGGAGAATGTAAAACTAACTATATGTGCTTTTACTTAAGATTAGAGTCATTCCTTTGCCCTTAGATTATTAAAAGGTGTTGCTGTAGTTAAAAAGGAAACAAAGAGGGAAAGCAAGACCAACCACAGTGAATGGAAAACTGTAAGAACAAGGCAGATGTCATTCTCTGTACATTTCCCAAAAGAATTGAGGCTTGCTTCCTCCATTGTTAAAAATTTTGCATTTTATGTGTAAAAAAGTGAATCTTGAAACAGTATTTTTGTTTCATTGTTGATTTTTAAAAAATCAACCTAATGAGATGTTGGTTATTTCTGTACCTTGAGTTAAATGTTAATCTCTTCACTAACGTTATTACCAAAAGACTACTTGGTCATTTATCTCATTGTCCTTCATGGAATCTTGCTGAATATAGCAAGAATGTCCCGAAGGAGGGTCATGGACACAAAATGTTAACTCTGCTTTCTCTCCACAAATACTGCCAGACCTTCGGAGTTTTTCCAGCAGTTTATGTTTTTGTTTGACTTCCAGCATCCGCAGTTTTTTGGATGTGGCTGTGTACATATTTGCTGCTATATTTTACCAGACCACAACAGTGAGTATAATTCGAAGTATTTCAATAGCTGTGAAAGTGCTTTAGGGCATCTGATGTTGTGCAAGTCAATTTATAAATGCAGATTTGTTCTTCCCAGCTTTCTTTTCATATCATAAAAGCACAATGACTACTAGCCCACAAGTGACTAAATATATTACGCATTTGTTTTAACAACTCATTCGTACAATAATGAATAGTTTCTGGCTGAATTGGTCGGGGTGACTATCCTTCATGTCCTGTCTAATTTAGTGCTAAATTAATTAAGGCTATTTGGTTTAATTACATTTTGTGTTCCACATTCTAACTACAATGAGTAAAGGAGTTTCTCCTGAATTCCTTTTTGGATTTTTTTAGTTTTGAATGTGTTACAAGTAGAAATACCTATATTTTCACTATTATACCCTTTAATTGCTTTAAAAAAATCTGTTAAGTCATCTCTCAGTTTTTTTTCAGAGGGAAGAGGTTCAGCTTGATTAGTTTTTCTTGATAATTATAACAATTAAGTCCAGGCAACATCTTTGTAAAATGTTCTTGGTCTTTATCCAATACCTCTATATGTTTTTTTTTAGAACAATGGGACCAGAACTGTGCTCACCACTGCAAATTTTAACATCCCTGGTTCCTCAATTTTGCCCGTGTAGAATGAACTCAAGTGCCTAAATGGCTGTTCTGATTTCTATTTTAATTTGTTGTTGAGGAACTTATCTTGTGCCGAGAAGCCCTCTTGATCTTAAGCTTCCTGAAAACATCCATTCTTGTTGGTGGAGTTGCTGAGGTTTCAAAGATGCCAGCTGTTTGTTTAGGTCAGCAACATCAAGACCCCAGTCATTCTCCTTATTAAGTTTGTGAGCTAGAAAGTGGTCAATTAAGAGGCTGCCTCCAGGAAAGTAAATCCTCAGGTCTGGCTCAGCAAGAGCAAGATCAGACCCCTAATTTGTCCTGCCATCAAGGTTTTGAAATTTGTTGTAAAATTTACTAACTTTGTTTCTTTCTCCATTGTTGCTTGCCAAACCTGCTGAATATTTTACCACTTTGTTTTTTTTTTGGATTTCCAATATCGGTAGTATTTTGCCTTTGCCTAAATTTAACATTTCATTTATAAAACAATACCTTTCGATATGGCACTCTTTCAATGCTGCAATGAAGTATCAGGCCAGATAATGTGTTCAAGCCTTATGCAAGCTTTGCAACCACAACTTTCTGCCTCAGAAACAAGAGCACAACAACCGATCCAAAACTGACACTTTGTGTGCATTAAAGCTAGCTGGTTTATTCAAAATAGGTGTTTCCAGTGCTTTGTCACTAAGCATCAACATTCAGAATGCAATTCTAATCCAGTCATTTAAATACTATTATTGTTCTGGGTGACCAATGTAATTTACCAAGACATTAACAACACGGGATCCATCAAATTAATACCTGTCAATACAGTCAGTGAACCATTAATGCTCTTACAACTTAAATTTGTTTCAGGAAGCATTCTTAAAATGTTTGTGAAGTTAAAAAAAAATTGTTTAAATATTAATTACAGGAGCCTTTAATGAATGCATTAAAAAGTTTCTGACAACAATTTACATTCCTCATATCCATTGTCATGTGGTATTGTTTCAGACTCGAGTCACAACTTTTTTTTAATAATGGCCTGGGAACAGTTGTCCAGTTAAATATGAAGATACATGATTATAATCAATCAGATTACTGCAAAAATAATTAGAAGCTATGTACCAGAAGATTCAGAAATATTAGTTGGGTAATTGCCTATCACGCTATTTGTGCTGTAACAGTTAAGTTGCTACTGAAAAATATACGCAGTTGCAAACATTATATATATCTGCATGCACGGGTTTTGCAGATAAAGATCTCCAGATTCAATATTGTAACATTATACATAGAATCAAACTGGGGAGATGTAAAATAAGGGGTTAGGTCTAACTGTGATGTGCTAATAAATACTTATAAATCATAGGAAGTGATACAATGTCACATGATCTTGCTTTTCCTTCCAACCTTGTGGCAAGATATTCCTTAAAATGTTTTCCTTACTCCTGCAGACTCTGAAATATTCTTTATTGAGATTGAGAATATTATAAATGTCACAGTGCATTCATATTCCAAACAGCACTGGAGATAGAAGACTGATATTCAAATCCAGAGAAGAGTCCAAACCACATTAAACAACGAGGATGTTGGCAGCCTCACCCATTACACTGTTTGAATGCCTCCATTTCAACCTGTCAAATAAGTGTCAGGCTGTCTCATGACACTTTACAAAGTTTGAACTTATCCCAGATAGAAGTCACTAAATTTTATTACAAGATGTAGGAGAAGAGAGGAAGATGAAAATACATGGAAAATAGTCCAAGTCTTTTCACTAAAAATAAACTTCCTCCTTCTAGCATTTCCTACTGTAAGAAGCAAGGCAGGCACACAATTCTGGGCCTTTGGCAAAACCAATCTGTGTAAATTCCCATCAGTAAGTGGTGGAATAGAAGGTACTGGTGATTTATTTGCTTATTTTTGAGTCAACATCATCTGTACTTGTTTCTAATCCTCCACTTGCCAGTTTCTTTAAAGCTTTCCTTTTGCTCATGAGAACAGAGTGCACATCACCTAGCCTCGACCACATGTTCAGAGTGGTTAAAACCAAAGCCTTACAACGAAGGTACGATCTACCATGAAACAATCAAACCTCAGCGTACATCATTTGCATCATCAAGAGCTGTCAGCTCTTGCACATAAACCTGTGTCACATCTCACTGCAATGTACTTCAGCATAATACATTTATGAGCTTGTGTTTCTAGTCCTTACTCTCCTTCCATATGCTTATCTCTTTTTGTAAAAAAAAAGAAAATGAATAACAATAATATTTTATATTAATTTCCCCTTGCCAACTTCTTTCCTGCTACACCTCCTCCTCCTTAGGATTAATTGATAAATGCTTGTTTGTGTTCCTGTCTTAGACACCAGTCATCTTCCACATTCTTGCTGTGTGCAGACTGTCATGTCAGACTTGATAGTTGTCCACCAGTGCACACTTTTGTCAAGACAGTTTTTATCAGATGTTACGCATTTCCCTCACATAGGGTACTGAGGCCAAATTTTATTATTGCTTAAACAGCCGTGACTGAAATCAGTAAATTCAATAGATACTGGAAATGAATTTATGACCTTCCTGCTTTCTATGGTTCATTTACTTAGGCTATCAGCAAAGGCTACATCTGCTTTTTGAAGGAAGTTTCATATAAGTTCTTAAGTAGTAAATTTTCTCAGAAGGCTAAATAACATGAAACCATCAAAGTATCTTTAGTAAACATTAATTAAGAACTTGCAAGTAAAGTATCTTTTGGCTTCATAGTGAATTACCATTTAAGTGTAATAACTGAAGTTTTTAAATGATGCTTCCCTCTAGTTTTATTTTCTGAATAGTTGCCTTTAGGGTTCTTTATTCTAAAGGTAGTGAAGATGATGAGTATTAACAAATAGTAGCTAACAATGAAGAACATAAAAAGGAAATCCAATGTAAAGTTTATATGTCTTATTGACAAGATTCCACATTATATCTTGTTGTGGACAACAGTTAGATAGAACTAAGCACCAAAGCAATGGGTGAGTGTTTGGTCCATCACTCTAAGGTGCACTGCCTTAACATGAGATATTAATAACTAATAAATATCAGCTATTTGATATAGCCATATTGGCACAGATTTTACTCTTTCAATTTTCTTCAAACAGTTGTTAAAGGAAAGATTGTATTCCAATGTGCAGGCCACTCCTACCATTCCTAAATGGCTACTCCAACATAAATGAATATAGACAGTGACAAGCTTGAAGGGCATCAAAGCTGAACTATATTTTTATTTTTCCCTTCTATACAAATTGACAATGAAGTCAACTGCGGTCCCTCTGTTGTAATCCTGGAGATTAGTTAATGGAGTACAGTATAAGACAAGATTCAGACCTGTGACATTCTTATTCACTGTTGTAAAATTAATAGTTTCCTAATATTACTCAAAAGGTAAAAGATAATTTTGAATGTCATTGCCCATCTATAGATAATATGCATAATTTGTCAGAACAACACAGGCATTGATGCACATACCAATATTTTTTCTTCGGATTTGCACTTTGTTGTTAATTTCACTTTCTTCATAAATTCTATTTTCTTTGGCTGCAGAATTCTAGCTACATGTTCTGTGAACAAAAAAAAAACTCTTTGAAGCATCAACGTAAGGTCAGATTTTCTAGTACTACGAACAAAA